AATGTACCTGCTGTGACTCAGAAGGACAGGGCATAGAAGCACATGGGTTTGAAAAGGTGCTGTGGAGGCTTGCAGAACACAGCATGATAGCAATTCAGTTCACATGGCTATGGGGGCTGTTGGGCAGCTCAGGCCCAGGGCTCAGCACTGATGCATGTTCCAGGATGGTGGGATGCCACAGTACCAAGCTCACAGAAGTAGGGTGCGCTGTCACAGAACTTGTGAAAATAAAACTAGCATGAATGATTTTTTCCTTCTTTGAAATTTCATAGGTAGGGTATTTGTTCTTACCATAGATACAGGTAGGGTATTTGTTCTTATCATAGATAGAACACATAAAATTGTGTTCCTTATTGAGAACTTCCACCTTATTACTTAAGGAAGCGCTTGATGGCATATCTGAATTGCAGGATAAGGCAATTGCTAACGTTTGAATGCTTCTCCCCTCTGAAACTCATGAGTGAGGTTGGTGCACATCAACAGTGAGTTTGGGCCTCTCCAGCCTCTTTCCCTTTCTGACTCTTTTGCCCTGTGAAGAACTCGGGCCCCACTGCCTCTCCTACAGTATGCAGCATTCATAGCACTACCCTCACCAGACAKCAGACCTGCTGGTACTTTCTTCTGGAACTTCCCAGGCTCCAGAACTCCAGAAATAAATTTCTGTTCTTAGTCTCAGCTATTCTGTTGCAGCAGCACAACTCAGGCTAAGATAGTAGTGATCCATCCATACTCTATTCAACATCATTCTGCAAATCTTAGCCACTGGACTAAGGTAAAAAGAAAGACATAACATTCTACAGTCATACAGGAATAAACAAAATGGTCTTTTGTTTTCAGAAAAAAAAAATTTTGTTTGTAGAAAATGTCCAACCTAAGCCAGATGCAGTAGCACATGCCCGTAATCCCAGTGGCTCAGGAAGCTGAGGCAGGAGGATCATGAGTTCAAAGCTAGCCTCAGAAAAAGCAGGTGCTAAGCAAGTCAATGAGACCCTGTCTCTAAATATAATACAAAATAGGACTGGGGTGTAGCTCAGTAGTCAAGTGCCCCCGAGTTCAATCCCTGATACAAAAAAAAAAAAAAAAAAAAAAAAAGAACATGTCCAACCTAGAAAAGAAAGAAAACTTTAGTGAGTATGAATTAGCAGGATATGGCCAATACACAAAAGCCAGTACTATTCCTATGTACCCGAAATGAACAAATGGAATTTGACACGTTTAAAAAATCTATAATCACAAAAAAAGGAGAAAGGAGGGATAAAAAAGAAGAAAAGACTTATGTACAAACCTATCAAAATAAGTGTGGGAAATGTGTGCTGAAAATTATAAAGCTCAGGTGAAAGAAATCAAAGATGGGCATGAGATACACTCACAGATACACTACACAGTTTTCATGAACTGAAATATTAAATATTAAGATGCCAATTCTCCCAAATTTCAGCAGCTGTCCTTGCAGATATCAGTATGCATTCAAAGGCAAAGGAAATAGAAATTGAAAACAATTCTAAAGAAAAAGGAACAAAATTGGAGGATTTATTTTACCATATTCCACATCTTTCTATAAAATCAAGAGTAATCTGAACAGTATACCTGCAGAAGAATAGGCATATAAGGCAATTTAAAGACATGATTTTTAAGTGAATTGAAATTTTATTTTCTTATAAATCTATTTTATTTATTTATTTATTTTTATGTGGTGCTGGAATCGAACCCATTGCCTCACATGTGTGAGGCAAACGCTTTACCACTGAGCTATAACTCCAGCCCTCTAAATTGAAATTTTCAAGAAACATATGTGAACGTTACATTACACTAGCTTTTTATAACTGTCAAAAATTTCGAACTACCAGCTATCCTGGATGGATGAATAAACACTAGGAAATTAGTGAGTGACAGTTTAAGAAGAAAGAGGGTATTTAATGGCCTTAGAATGTCTCACTGCAAATATCTATTACCTTGGCGGTACTGCACCTACGCTGGCAGCCCCCATTTTGGAGCTTTGTGGGCATTGGCAAAGTCAGTGGCATCAGGGGCAACTGCCTGGAAAGGAGGTGAGTAGTTTTATTATTTAGAAGCATTTGTTTACTTTAAAAACTTAAGAAATTCTAACATTTAACTTGGGCACAGTGGTGCATGCCTTATAACCTCAGCTACTCTGAAAATTTAGACAGAAGGGGCTCACCAGCTTGAGACCAGCCAGGGAAACGTAGTGATACTAAGTTTCAAATTTTTAAAAAGGGCCAGTGATGTAGTTCAGAAAGAGAACACTCCTGGATTCAGTACCCAGTACACACACACACACACACACACACACACACACACACACACACACACATTTAAAAATATAAAATGTTTACCTTAGAAATTGCTTTTAGTTGGTTATAGCTTTAACTTTTGTAAAAATAATTTATTATAATGGTAGTGCCATGGACATGTCCTTACGTTCTTCCAGTGCCTACCTGTTGTAAGGAGGATAGAGCTGGCTCTGATACATGCTATATTCATTCTTTCTCTTCCTGGTCCCGAGTTTTACTGCAACAGCGGCAGGCAAGTTAAATATTGAGTCGTTTTCAGGACTTTTATGGTCATTGCAAGTTTTTAATTCAAGTGAAAGTTGGAATAGTTCATTAGGTTAAACAAAAAATGTCAACAAAGAAAAATTACACATAAAAGTCTTAGAATGCTGATTGGAATTTTTTAAATTATACTATTTCATCTGATATTTATTGAAGTTTTATTAATGTCAACACTAAAATTTTGTACCTTTATTCACATAAATTACACTAACTGGTAAAAATAATTGCCTTTTTCTTGCTAATCAAAACTCATTCATGTTTATCCTTGCCAAATAAAATCACCTGTCATGAAGTATCAATGATGAAATCTGCACACACACGTGTATTAGTAAAAAGGATGTCATAAAATATATCCAGAGGTTTCTAACATGATTCCTAATTTCAAAAGTGTGCATATATAAGATTTAGGGAAGTTTTTTCTCCAAGATGTGCATAATTTGTATACTGTTTTCTTTTGTAGGATTTTGTATACTTTCAGGTATGATGTAATATCAATGGGGTTACTTAAGGATCATAGGTATTATTCCTGTATTAAAAACAATGGACTCCATTTTCTAGGATTTGTTACATTTTACAGCTTTCTTTACTCAAAAAAGCTATTTATATTTGTTTTCTCTTGGCAGCTGGAATTCAAAGGCATACTTGTAACATGATAGTCCACGTTTTATAAACTTTATAATAATTTTTTTCAAACACAGAAAATAGTAAAATGAGAGCCAATTCCAAAAAGACAAATGCTGAATGTTTTCCCTGATATAAGGTGACTGACTCATAGTAGGGTAGGGAGGGGGAGCATGGGAGGAATAGACAAACTCTAGATAGGGCAGAGGGGTGGGAGGGGAAGGGAGGGCTCAGGGGATCCGCAATAATGGTGGAATGTGATGGACATCATTATCACAAGTACACATATGAAGACATGAATTGGTGTGAATAAGCTTTATGTACAGAGATATGAAAAATTGTGTTCTATATGTGTTATAAGAATTGTAATGTATTCTGCTGTCATGTACTTTAAAAAATAAAATCAATTAAAAAAGATAGAAAATAGTAAAATGAGAATATCCATATTCTAAAGGTGGATTTTTTTCCCCCTCTTCTTTGGAAGTGTCTGATATTAAACCCAGGACCTCAGACTTGCTAAACATACACATTACCACCAAGTTATATTCTCAGCGCTAGAGGTAGAAAGTCTTCATGTCTTGCCTTTTCCAGTTGTTATTTTATTAAAAGTCATAATTGTATAGTACAACACAAAGAACTTAAACATGCAGTTCTTTAATAATGTATAAAATTACCTACGTGATCCCAATAAACGAAAGTCATGGTAACTTTCCTCGATATTTCTAAGGTCCAGGCCATTTGCTAATTTCCCCAATTGTTCCCAACTAGAGTTTCTAGCTCCTTTTTTCTGCAACTAAAATGAGATCAAGGACTACACACTGTAGGTGCCACTAGGACAACAATTCCATATCACCTCTGAGGCTGTGGCAGAACCTGGATTTCTGGTATCAGGACAGACTGTCTGTAACAGGTTGTCCCCAGCTAAACCTTCCAAAGGAAAATAGAAATCCTCAGCATGACACCTGGATGGTGGCCTTCTGGGAAGTGTAGTCCGCAGGGTGCCGAGCAGCCTTCTGGGAGTGGGCTGCCTCCGCGCGTGCGCAAGAAGCACGGGCTGGCCCACAGCCGCCGCGTCTCTTCGCGCGGCCCAGCGTCGGGCGCGCGCCTCGGCGAGGCCTCCGGAGCCGCGTGGGGCCACGTGCTCGTGTCCGGCGCGCCCTTGCGGTGCGAGCCAGGCCCGGTCTCCGACCCTGGCCCTGGGCCGGCCCGGGGATGTCGCCGCATCCAGAAGCCCTCCCGGCTTGCGGGGCGGCGGGCGCTGCGGGCCGCTGCGGGGACGGTGAGTGCGCGGGGCGCTCGGCCCTCCACCGCGAGCCCGGAGACCGCCTGCCGCCGCGACCCAGCGGGGGCCAGCCCAGGGCCGCGCCCTCCGCCCGGCTCCCCGCGCCCGCCCCGGCCGGTGGGAAGAAGTGCACGGAACTGGAGCGGAACACGTGGAGCGTCCCACCCGTCAGCAGCTGGGTTAGTTTTCAATCGATATGAGTAATGTCAGTAAAATGGTCACATGAATTGTCACTTTGTCAGCCCTCAGTAAAAGAAGACACATTTAGGACGAATTAATAGGAAAAAGGACTCACAGCCACCCAGTGGAAGAGGGGATGTCCGCACGTGGTCCACGGTCGGCCCTGGGTCCTGCGCTGTCCGCGTTCCAGACCCGTGTCCCAGACCCGTGTCCCGGGTGGGCTTGGCCTGCTGGCCTAATGACACACTTCGGGGGGCAGTGCGAACCTGACCAGACCCCTAATGACCGTGTCCTTACCCCCAGGYCATCCTTCTCAGTTCTCAACTCTCTTCCAAGAGCGACAGAAAATGAACCTGTCTCAGGTGAGTTTTTAATCAACAGCCTTTGTATCATGGATTTATAGTACTTAAGGGTCTGTCCACGTGGAAAAGTAAAAATGAGAGTGGGCCAGAACCTTTCAGAGGGGATGTAGAAAAACTCATGAAAACACAGCAGAGTTTGTGTGTAGAAGGTGCAGATCCTCTGATTCGGATTTTTGCAAAGTGCTGCTGCCATTTTCCTTCTGACCTTTCTCATATCCGTAGCTGACAGTATTTGTTTAAAGATTTGTCTTTAGGAGAGACTTAAGCCAGACTGAACCCTTGTGGAATCTAAACAATTGAGAAAAGTGTTTTTGTTGGTCTTCATGTAAGTGATAGTAAAAAATCTTCCCAAGAACAGCCCTGAGGTAATGCAGTATATTGCTTCTCCTTTTTCCTCACTGTTAGTAGAATACCTTGGACCAAGTGGGGATTTTGTTAAAACAATTTTTCAGATGACTAAAACAAGTTGAGGTTGACAGTTTGTCAACGAAGGGAGATCAGATGCCTGGTGTAGGCTCAGTTGATCAAAGGGGGAGAGGTGAAGAGGATGATGTCAACCCTAAAGAATGGCTGGTACTATAGCTGTTACAAAGCGCGGAGGTTCTTAACCTTTTAAGAGCAGGCTAAGGAAGGTGTGTCCTAATCTGTTGTTTTTGTTGCTATAACAAAATACCTGAAACTGGGTAATTTATAAAGAGGTCTTTGGGCTCCCAGCGCTATAAGCCCAAGGTTATGGATACTGCATCCACTTGGCTGTTCTTGGGTCTCTTGGTAGAAGGGCAGTGGGCTGTGACAGAGAGAAGAGGATGTCAGGCTTCTCCTACAATATCACCCTCTTCAGGAACTATATTAATTCTTCATGAGGCTATTTCTCCCTATTAAATGATTGATATCTGGGTTTACTTCTTGGTTCTCAGTTCTACCGAATGGATCCACATGACTGTATTTATGCCAGAATCACACTGTCTAMATTACTAAGAAAATACAAGTCTTCCAGCTTTTTTTTTTCAAGATTGTTTTGACTATTCAGGGTTCCTTGAAAATTGTATGAATTTGAGGATTGACATTCTGCAAAAATGCCTTTGGAATATGGATACAGATTTCACTGAATCGTAAATCACTCATAGGAAAATTGCCATCTTAATATAAATCTTCCAATTATGCACATAGAATGCCCTTTCATTTATTAGGTTTTTAATTCTTTCAAAAATGTTTTCTAGTGTTCATGCACTAGAATAAATTCTTAATTTATTCCTAAATGTTTCATTATATTTTATTCTATTGTAAATAGAATTATTTTCTTAAATTGTTCATTGCCTGTATAGAGATGCAAATTATTTTTGTGTATTCTTTAGTATCCTACAATTCCTCTGAATTTACTAAGCAACATTTAACAATTTTTGTGGATTCTTCAATACTATCTATATTAAATCATTTGGTATATGAATAGAGTGATTTACTTTTTTTCTTTCCAATTTGAATGATTTTTTTCTTCCTTTCTTACCTATTTAAGATGGCTAGGTCTTCTAGTGCACTGAATAGAAATGATTAAAGCTTGCCTTCTTTGTCTTGTTCCTCATCTTTAGGGGAAACATTCTGTCTTTTGGCCCCATGTTTGGTGTTAACATCAGTTTCTCATAAATGTTTCTTATTATGTTGAGGAAATTCCCTTCTGTTCCTACTGTGTTGTTTGCAAAGATTATCATGTGGTATATTTCCTTTATTCTATCAATGTGATGTATTACATTGATTTTCTTAWGACAAGTCTCATTGCAATTATGCAGCAAATTATACTTACTGTTTGTTGTGTMCCAATAAACCCATTATACATTGAAAATATGATATCATAAGTCCAAATTGCCCGTAATACACTAATTTAGTGAACATTAAAGCTTAGCCTAGGCTACCTTAAGCATGCTCAGAACATTCACACCTTGGACAAAAATGATCTAACACAAAGTCTGTGTTATACTAAAATATAATTTCTACAGCATGTAAATCACTTTCCCATCATGAAGTTAAAACAGACAAGTCAGGCCACCGTATGTAGAGGAACATTTGTCATCCTTTTTATTATGCTGGTATTATGTTGAAGTCTTTTGCACCTATATACATAAGTGATGTTGATCTATAGTTTTCTTATGTCTGGCTTTAGTTCAAGGTAACTGAATAGATTGAATTAGGATGTGTTTCACTTTTATTTTGGGGAGAATTAGAGAAGTGTTATAATCCATTCTTTAAATAATTTGGTAGATTTACCAGTGAAGCCATTTGGTTTGGGGCTTTCTGTTTGGGAGAATTTTAATTACTGAAAGGTCTCTCCAGATTTATTTATTTGTTTTTCTCTATATCACTGAGACATGTTTTCTATTTTGTTTTTTAAGTAAGCAAAATATGTGATTATGTCTGTGTTCCAATAAAACTTTATTTACAAAAAAAAAGGACTGGTAGTGGTGATGATGTTTTTCTTCATTTATAAAAAGAAACAGATGATGAGCTAGATTTGGCTTTTGAATTGTAAGTTGATGATTCCTATTCTATGTCCTTGTTAGTTCTTTCAATCTGCTTTTCTGTATTACTGGAAGAGTTCTATTAAAATCACTAATTGCCTTTTTATCATTTTTTTAACCTTTTGTTTATGTATAAGCAATTCCCTGTTGTCCTCAGTTGTAACATTCTATAAAGTCACCATAAATACTCAATTAGTAAAATACTGAACCATGACTAAGAAGGGATATACAGGGTTTGGTTCCTGCAAATCTCGGCTCACATTTTCTTAAGCCAGTCAATATGTAATCTTGTCATGTTTCTGTTTAAAGACATTTATAACATAAATAATGTTATAAATTATAATATTGTTGATTTATAAACATTGGGCTAACAGCCAACAGCACACCATAGCTAAGGCCTGAACAAAGCTTACCTAGYTCAAATGTTTTCTCCATGGAGCATATCCAATCCTTCCTATCTTAAGAGCACTAGACAGTCCATCAATATCAAACAAGTAGGCTATAATAGGCAGCTTTTTGTCTCTGTGACTAAAATATCCAATAAGAACATCTCAGAGGTGAAAAAGTTTGACTCACAGTTCCAGAGGTTTAGTCCATGGTCTGCCAACCCCATTGCTCTGGGCCCAAGTGAGGCTGAACATCGTGATGGAAGGATGTGGTGGAGGAGTATTTCCATTCATGGCAGCCAGGAAGCAGAGAGGTTGAAGTAGAGTCCACGGGAGAGAGGTACCCTTCCAGGGCATGTCCCCAGTGACCATTTCCTCCTAGCCGTTCCCTGTCTACCTCTACACCTAGTCAGTCCATTCAAACTAGGATGAGCTGAGTAGGTTTATGGCTTTCATAATCTCATCATTTCACCTCAATATTCTTATATTAACACAGGCRTTTCGGGGGGACACCTTATCTCCAAACCATAGCAGAGGCCATTTTTAAAAAGCAAAATCATTGAGAAAAAGCACAAAAATGCAAATAATGTGGAACTAAATAAACTGAGAAAGGGATACTTGTTTACATTATCAGTGAAGCAGACAAAGTACCTCCACCCTTGCCATGACTAAGCTTCTCCTCTTGTCATGTCAGCAGGATGTCTGCAGAGGTTATTGTGGTTGGTAGTTACCTCTTTCTTATAAATGCTAGGTTTGTACACAAAAGGTGTGACAGAGTTAGTTTGCAACCTTGTGAAAAAATATATTTCTATTTTCTTAATTAAAAACTTGTGAAATCTGTGTCTGGTCTAGGGGATGGAATAGAGAGCATTTGTCATGTGAACCTCCAATACCCCTCTAACCCCCTCCAGCTGGGTATAAAGTTCAAAAGTCTTCCAAAATCTTTGTTCAGGGGAAGAATTCTTAGACAAGAGCCACCTCTGAATCCTGTGGTCAATAAACCTGATTCCTGAAAAKTCCTCAGTTGTCCAGCTTCTTCTGTCCCACTTCATCAGAACTAAAATAAAAGGCAAAAAAACATCATTTTATTCAACCTCGCCTAGGGAAACTCAAATTTTGTGTTATTCTATGGATGACCAAGAGTGACCACAGATAACTCTGAATATTCATTTTGAGGTTACTAATAAACCTAAGTGAAGGATTGAGTTCACAATTACATAATYTGTGAATAATAACAAATGTTTGTATTTGAAAGCTCTATTTTCTAGTGCATACCTGTTTATGTTTGTTATATATACTCTATTGAAAGGATCATTTTATCATTCTAGGTTGTTACTTGTCAACTTTTATCATGCTTTCTTACCTTATAATCTACTTTTCTCAATACTAATATAACCACATCAACTTTCTTTTGGTAAATGATTAAATGACAGTTTTTAACATAATACCTTTATTTTGTTTGTTTATTTATTTTTATGTGGTGTTGAGGACCGAACCCAGGGCCTCACACATGCTAGGCGAGCGCTCTACCGCTGAGCCACAGCCTCAGCCCCCTATTTCTTTTTATATAAAATGTTATCTTTGTTGTTGCTTTTGTGCTGATGATTTTTCCTTAAATCAGATTTTTTGGTGTAGAGATTAGCAAATTTTCCTATAAATTATCAGGTAGTAAATATTTTCATTATCAACATTTGCAAGTCTCYGATAGTATTTTACATCTTCTGACTATAAAAAATAATTTAAAATGCCAAAATATTACTAACATCTATTGGTAGTTCATATTTATGACTTAAAAATATATACACGTGAATTATTATGTATTTACTAATTGAGTAACTTCAAAGAATGAGATCATATCAAATTCAGAATAGACTTTGTTTATAGTCATTTTAACCTCTTTATGGTAAACATAATAAGAATCATTTTTATGAGTATTTTCTATGTCTGTTTCTAATTCTGGACCTTACAGATGAAACAAAATGTRCTGTTCCAGGCCTCAGTGTCATTCCGGGATGTGACTGTGGAACTCACCCAGGAGGAGTGGCAGCACATGGGTCCTGCTCAGAGGACCCTGTACAGAGAGGTGATGCTGGAGAACTACAGCCACCTCGTCTCTCTGGGTGAGCATATAAGCCTAACTTACCCTCRCAATGCTGGGAGAAGGCACTTCCTTTTTACTTACCATCATGTATGAACACCTAGCAAGTTTCATGGTATTTAGGATTTTCATTCAAGAATCCAAAGTAACTGAACTTTTAAGAGTACCACAGAGAATGTGTTGTCAGCTTTCAGTGATAAATTCAAATGTTACTTTGAGGATTCTGCTCCTGAAGCTATACCTTCTTCTACTTTTGGAAAACAGAATGCTCATGTATCTGGCCTAAGCCCTCAATTGTTCCGTATTCATAGGGTACTGCATTTTCAAACCAGAGGTGGTCTTCAAGTTGGAGCAAGSAGAAGCACCTTGGTTCTCAGAGGAGGGAATTTCAAACCAAAATGACCCAGGTGAGTTACTGAACAGATYTGTTTGCAGTAGTTAGACTCCAGATGGTCAGTTTACAAGTGAACACCTTTGTATCATGAAACTTTTATTAAAAGATCAAAGTTGTAAAAACAACTAATCAAAGGGAAATGATTAATAAATCTGACTCCATTAAAGTTTAAAACTTTGTTTTAAAAGATATCTTTTAAAAGGGTAAAAGACCACAGAATAGCAGAATTGGAATATGGTGAAAGTAACCTAGACAGAGTAAGCTTCCTGAAAATGTAAAGGATTTCTATAAATCAATGTGAGAAGAGGGAGACAACACAATTGAAAAATGGGCATAAGGACTGGGACGGGGGCTCAGCGGTAGCACATTTGCCTGACGTATTTAGGCATTGGGTTCGATTCTCAGCACCACATATAAATAAATAATATAAAAGGTCTATCAACAACTAAATATATATATATATATATATATATATATATATATATAAATAATATATATTAAGAAAAATGGGCATAAGACTTTGAACAGAAAATATTCATTTTAGTTTTATTTATTTATTAATTTTTGGTGGTGCTGGGGATTGAACCCAGGGCCTTGTGCATTAGCGGCAAGTACTCTACCAACTGAGCTACATCCCAGSTCAGAACAGGAAATTTTTAAAGGGTCAGTAAATCTGAAAATTTATCACATTATTTTTTATAGACTACAAAGTGAAATAAGAGATGTAAGATAAGATTGCCAAATCTGGCTATACCAAGTCCTGGTGGGGATATGAATTATGAGAGACCAGTATTCATAGATTGGAAGTGTAAACTTGTAAAACTATTGTGAAGTCAGGAACATGCCACCTAGTCTGGTTATGTTTTGCTTACATTATAAGCAAGCAAGCCCTTTGATCTCTGTACACCCTACCAAATGTATAATTGTATTCTCTAGTATATGTAATAATATTAATGGGAATATTGTTTATATTTGCTGAAATTTGGCTCATCAGCCACCGGGTAAAGAAATAGCTGTATTTTTTAAGGAAAAATTATGTAGCCACATAAAATTCTGTGCAATGATTATAAAGATTAACCCAACAAAATATCAATACATACATATCACTGTAATGTTACATATGAAAGTTTATGTATTATTCCATGCCATGTTAGCTTTTTTTGCTTTGACCAAAATATCTGATATGAACAACATAAGGACAGATTTATTTTGGCTCAGTTTCAGAGGTTGGCAGACTGCATTGCTGTGGGCCTGAGGTGAAGCAGAACATCAGGGTGGAAGGGTCTGGCAAAAGCAAAGTTGTTCACCTCATGGCGGCTGGGAAGGAAATCAGAGAGTGGAATGAGCTAAGTTTTAAGAAATACCCCTCTAGGGCTTAGCCCAGTGACCTACTGYCTATGGTTTCCACCACCTCTCAGTAGTCCATTCAGCTACCAGTGAGTTAATCCCCTGATGAGACCAGAGCATTTATGATCTGATCACTCCCCCAAAGCCCCTACCTTTGAATATTTCTCTGTTGGGAAGCAAGCCTTCAACATATGAGCCTTGGGAGAAATTCCAGTCTAACCTATAATACTTAGTTTTAATGGGTGGAACATAAGTGACAAGTTACATATTTTGCAATATAAATTATCAAGACAATCATTTAGATTACATAAAAAATCTGGACCTTTCTTATGATTTCTCTTCCATGATTCCTCATTTAAAATTGAACTCGTGTGTCACATTGAAATGTGGAAACTCAGGATGGAGTCAACTTCGATTATTGTTGTGTTATGACAAAATTAATAAAAGATGAGAGCCAGAATGGAACTGTGAATCTAATTAAGTTGCAAGAATGGATTTTCTTTTAATCAGTTTATATATTGCAGAGCTAGGGCTGTAGCTCAGTGGTAGAGGGCCTGCCTAGCATATTTGAACCTCAAYACCACATAAAAATAAATAAAGGTCTTGTGTCTATCTATAATTTTTWAAAATTACATATGTACACACTCATATATATAATTCATATATTGCTTGTATTTCTGTGAATCATAACTGTAAGATAGCTAAAAACTTCTTCATAATCATATGGAAGTCAGTGCTGTTATACATTTACTATTGAAAAGTTGATGGAAATGAGTGATATCCAATTGGAAGAATTTAAACAATATAGTTCATTGTAGTCTAGGTAATATCTGCACCTAGCCTGCAATTTACTTCCCAAACCAAACTTTTTCCATATTGAGTCTATTTCATGTATATTATCCCAATTTTTAATACTCTACTGAAGTTTATAGTCTTTGTTGTATTCTTTCTATTATCCACTTTTTCTGAGGCCTAGTAACCACCCCTGTGAGACTATTTTCTATTTCCTTTCCTTTCTTTTATGTACTTAGGAAATACTCATTTACTACAAATAGTATTCGCAAACAGTTTCCTCTCCGTTTRCTCTATATTAATATTATTGTTAAAAGGAGAGTTGGCTGCACATACACATATATTTTAATTATTAGGTTTTGAGAACTCAATGTAATAAAACAGACTATGTGCATAAACCCTACTCATAAGAAGTATTTAYTTCATGTGTTCAATTTTTCTTGTTTTAGAAAATTGCAAAGTTGATGACTTGATCAAGAGGAACAAGAAAATCAAAGRCAAAGACTTACAACAGATAATATTCATCAAAAGTAAAACATTGACTAGAGAGAGAGGGGAAATTTGGGACAAACCATTTACTCAGCCCACAGCTCCAGTTTGTTCAGCAAAACTGTCCTGCAGATGTAAATCATGGGGAGWGAATTTTCAAAATATTTCTGAATTTGTCCAAAATAATAGAAACTGTTCAACAAAGAAAACAAATTGCCATAATGTATGTGAGAATTTGCCTTTCAAAATTAAGTTTGGCAGAACTCATACTGGAGAGAACTTTTATGAATACAATAAAAACATGCAAGACCTCAGTTATAAGGAAACTYTTGAGCATAAGAAATTTCAAACACTGGAGCAAGATCTTGAAGGTAATAAGATGCGAAAAACCTGTGAGAATGCCGACTTTGTTACACATAAGAGTTTTCACACAGAAGAAAATTCCTATAAAGKTGGTGAGTGTAGGAAAAACCTTCATAAGATAACTCTTTTTGACCATAGACGAATTAACACCAGGGAGAAACCCCCATGTCTTCACCAGTGTGGAAAGTCTTCCTTTGAGAAGTCAGCCCTGGAGGAACACAATAAATATAACACTGCTATGAAGTATCATGAACCTAATGCCCCTAGACATCATTTCAGCAAGCAGTCAAACCTCATTCAGCCTCAGAGAACTGTTGCAGAAGAGAATCCATCAGTATGTATTGACAGAATACACACTARGGATAAATCCTTTGAATATGAAAATAAGAGGTCTTATCAGACACTAACCTGCAAAGTAAAGCAGAGAACTCACTCTGACATGAAACCCTATAGATGTAGTGAATGTGGGAAATCCTTTTGTCAGAAAGGCCATCTCATTCAGCACCAGAGAACTCACACAGGAGAGAAACCATTTGAATGTAATGAATGTGGAAAAACTTTCTCCCAAAAGTCCCACCTCAATACACATCAAAGAATTCACACAGCAGAGAAACCCTATAAGTGTAATGAATGTGGGAAGACATTTGTCCAAAAGTCAACCCTCAGGGGACATCTGAGAATCCACACAGGAGAGAAACCCTATGAATGTATTGATTGTGGGAAAACTTTTGTTCAGAAGTCGACCCTCAGAGATCATCACAGAATTCACACAGGGGAGAAATCCTTTCATTGTAATGAATGTGGAAAAACTTTTGGCCAGAAATCTAACCTCAGAATACATCAAAGAACTCATAGTGGGGAGAAGACATACCAGTGTAATGAATGTGAAAAATCCTTCTGGCGCAAAGATCATCTCATTCAACATCAGAAAACTCACACGGGAGAGAAACCATTTCAGTGTAAYGAGTGTGGGAAAACCTTTGCCCGGACATCAACCCTCAGAGTGCATCAGAGAATTCATACTGGGGAGAAACCATTTAAATGTAATGAGTGTGGGAAAAAGTTTGTACGGAAAGCAATCCTTAGTGATCATCAGAGAATTCATACAGGGGAGAAACCCTTTCAGTGTAATAAATGTGGGAAGATGTTTGGGCAGAAATCAAACCTCAGAATACATCAGAGAATTCACASTGGGGAGAAAGCTTATGAGTGCAGTGAGTATGGGAAAGTGTATAAGTCAACTCTATGTCAGAGAACTCAGGGAGGAAGGAAACTCTTGATAACTATGGACAATATTTCTGACAAAGATGGATATGACAACAGAAGATATCCAGGAAATTCAATTGGAAATACACACACGCTAATAGTTCCAGAAATTAACCCCTACAGTACAACTGTTTACGTAAGGAAAAAAMCATATGGATGTCAGCATAGGAAGAGTTCTGTCTAGAAGGCAATGCTAAGATATATCAAAGAATTCACACAGACTTCTGTTTTTTCAGAGGACAATACAAAGTCCTTTTGAATGAAGTCATACCCTTTTAGATAATTCATGCATCAGTCTGTTAATCTGTTCAACAGTAAGTTTCATTTTTCTTTAAGGAACACAGCTAGTCTAAATTTTCTGAACTTCCCTTTCAACTAAGAGGGATTTGYGATAGGCTGCTGGAATGTGAATGCCTGTGATGTATGCATAACCAGATCTTACAAATCAGAGGTCTTCYTGAGAAGCTTCCAGGGACCTGTAAGAATAAAATGAATGATTTCTGGGTTGTCATGCCTTAATGTGGCATAGCCCAAGGTAAGAAAGGCCAGCATGGCTGAATAAATTGATAAGAGAGAAGTTGTCTTCCATATCTTTGCTGGTGAAAAATATTTTGAGCAAAATTAGACTTTATTCTATTGAAGTTTTGCATATATTGATGTATTTGTTTCTACATCTAGTTTAGCTCTCACTCTGTTAGGAAGGCAGAATATGGGTATGTAAACCAAGTCTAAGTCATCCAGAGGAYACCAGCCTCATCAGAAGACTACTGGGTTGAGGAGTCTCTCAAGGATGATCAGAGAATTCATACAAAAGTCATCCTTTCCATATATTGAAGTAGATGGTATCACTTGATACAGTGTTTTAGATGAACCTAAAGTGTTGGCAGAGGAATTTTTGATGGGTGATTTGGGTTGAATGGTGAGCAGCCACCATACAGCTCAAATGAACTATTTCTTGTTGAATGGCATAAAACCACTTCCTTCAGTCCTATACCACAGCCTTACTCTTTTTTTTTGAGAGAGAGAGAGAGAATTTTTAACATTTATTATTTATTTCTTAGTTCTCGGCGGACACAACATCTTCGTTTGTATGTGGTGTTGAGGATCGAACCCGGGCCGCACGCACGCTAGGCAAGAGAGCTACCACTTGAGCCACATCCCCAGCCCCACAGCCTTGCTCTTTAAAGATTAAGGTTTCCTTATCAGGGCTGGAAACCTGAGTATTCTAGGGTGATGTCTGGGAAGGGAAAAGACTCAAATGTTTATGGCTTTATTGGATACAAGTGCCCAAGTCCACAACTTGCCAATTCTGATGGAGGTATGGGCCCCTAGATTTAGCTAATGTGGTTTGGAAGGGAAACAAAAGTAACTTGGTGGATGGAACTGTTTAGGTCATTGCAATCAATATACTGTGGTTACTTCTATATCTCAAAGTGTAGTAGTGCTAGGGATGTGGCACAGTGATAAGGTGCTTGCCTAGCATGTGTGAGGCCCTTGGTTCAATCCCCCCATTGCAAAAAAAAAAAAAAAAAACAGAATCAATATGGTATATGCTCTATTTCCCACAAGTCATACAAGGAATTCTCCCAGTCAGGAAGAATGGAATGTGAAGAAGAAAATCAGCTCTTAGCTTASTCTTGGGCTCTTTTACAYAGTGGAAACCTTTGGCTTCAGTAGAGGCCTCTGCCTTAAATTCCAGTTTTGGGGTATGTCATCTTGGATTCAACAACTAACAAAATGAAGATAGCCCAGCAAGCCTCAACTAGCGGAATGAAAACTGTTTAAACTGCAGATCCATAGGCCCACAGTGTCTTAGCTGAACATGAAACAGGAGCAGGCTTTTGTTAAAAGAGAAATTTATCTCTTACTTCGTTACCTGAAACAAAATTTCTGGCTTAGTAGGCTCCTCGGTTTGTGGAGGTCAATCTAACTGGGCTAAAGCACTAGAATGCTGTATCTGCTTAAATTTGTCTTCATATACTCCAAAATGAAAGTGGTCACTCCTCAGTGAACAGATCACAAGAATTTCTCAACACTGTCCAGTGCTTCATTTCATAAACCGTGGCCTTACTCTTGGGCTTTTTTACACAGTGCATTCTGATTGACCCTTGGGCTCTTGCTGTGGCCTAGCTATTGTAAATTCCAATTAGAAACTATACACAGATGAAAGGCCTTCTGTGGTGTTCTGAACTGTGGGAGAAAACAGCTGCCGAGCACCCACAGTGTGCTCCACTAGATGCCCATGATTAAACTGTTCTCTAGTGATGCTCAAGTGGAAGCCAGCTGCTGATCCAGTGGTCTCTGTTCAGATGTTGTCACTKGTGTCCATCATTGTGCTGGTATGTGAAAACATTCTGTGTCTCACACTGGGCACAAAAGTCTGTATATCTCCCACGTCTCTATAGGTATCATTTGATGTAAGGATTTACACATTTTTTCCTTCTGAATGAATAGACAATATTCTGTATACCAYTTGGTTAGATAACATCTTTCTCACTGATTTTTTTWAAAAAATTTATATATGACAGTGGAATGCATTACACTTCTTATTATACATATAGAGCACAATTTTTCATATCTCTGTATACAAAGTATATTCACACCAATTCGTGTCTTCATACATGTACTTTGGATAATAATGACCATCACATTCCACCATGATTTCTAACCTGCTGCCCCCTCCCTTCCCCTCCCACCCCTCTGCCCTATCTAGAGTTCATCTAATCCTCCTATGCCCCCCTCCCTACCCCACTATGAATCAGTCTTCTTATATCAAAGAAAACATTCAGCATTTGGTTTTTTGGGATTGGCTGACTTCACTTAGCATTATCTCCTCCAACTTCCTCCATTTACCTGCAAAATGCCATGATTTTTTATGTCTTCACATATGAAATTGTCAGTTGTAAAGATATTGCATGTTTATCACCCTTACATTTGGTTTATCATTCCCTGTATTCTGTGACTTCAGTAAGATATCTTGTACGACCTAGGCTGGCACATACCCCATGAGCCAGAATACTCAATATTTCTGGTCTGATACTGAAGGATATTTGAATCAAGTTTGGAAAATGAGAATTCTAGGACTTTAGAAATGGAGCATCATTGACCTGTGATATTGTAACTGAGTGGCCAGCAGCCTTGCCAAGGAAATGCATCTGCAATATAAGATAAGGTTACACATGAAGAGAAGAAGACAGGACAGGGAGATTGGTAGGTAGAGCTATAGTTCCCRAGAAGCAAAATACCATGTTTGTTCTTTATAAGAGTGCTGGAAATAATGTCTTTCATTCTTTAAACTGTTGGGTTTTGCTTAGACACTTTCTTTAAAAAGATATTTAAAATCATCTCCTTCTCTGCTCCCTTTTAAATAGAATATTTTAAGATCATGATTGGGTTTGCTGTTCAGAACTATGTACTCCCCAACCCCTAGATGGAACTAAGTCATCCAAGTGGCCAGGTAATGAAAGTCCCATGACTGGGCACTTAGGCCTTATCTGATGTCCCTTTTACACATAACACACCACCAATTAGAGATCATGGTCTGTGTTCTCAACTTGACTCTTCCTTTCCTCTCTCTTCCTGGCTGTTCTTAACAAGTTGTAGTATTATCTTATAAGATGGGTAGGACCTCATCTAGTAAACCTAGAGATGTTTATTTCTTTGTCTGCCCACCTTATGATTTAAAAAAACCTCCATGAGGACAGGAAATTGGGGGGAGGGTATGATGTCTTATGCATATGAAATAGTCCCTTGATATATGAGACACTTGGAAATCTTTCTTGAAGATAGTTGCCAAAGGGAAATATGAACCTCTTTGATACTGWAAATTCTTTTTCATTAATTATTTTTTAAAAAGTGTTACAATAAGGTCCGCATTCAACAACTTCTGTTACAGMTATTTTCTGCATTTACTAAATTAAAGTTGGTTTTAGTATTCAGAACTAAGAGTACTATTCTGATCTTTGTTGCACAAAACTTTTTAGTGAACTTAAAGATTCCCAATTCAAAGGTTTTTTCTCTATATCAATCAGTTTATTATTATTATTATTAAAATTATTATTAGCAGAATAGACTGCAGTCTTCTTTATTTAGTTTGCTTTCACACAAATATTTTAGAGAGGTATACAAGCAATTTTGCAAAACAATTATAAAGGCAAAATCATACTTTCTAAGGTCAACCAAATCGATTAGGGGGGAAAAAAACCTGCTGGGAATTATCCCGTTAGTCCATTTTAACAGGAGTTCCCTCATTTTTACTTCCCAAATCTTGCCCTGAATGGTGAGAAGTTTTATTTTTCAATTTTGTCAAGTTGGAGATTAGCTCTTCAGAGAGAAGTCTGACCAGAAGAAGGGCCATAACATTTGGCCTGCTTCCCTTTTTATCCCCTATAGTTTCTCATATTG